TTTTTTTTTTTTTTTTTTTTTTTTTTTGGTTTGTTAATGTATTCTTATTTCTGATTAATAACTAGAAGATTTGACTAGCCCCCACGCTTATAAAACTTTAAAAACATTTTTATTCTTTTGGAAACTGGATTATTCTTTTGTTGTTGTTGGGACCGCAGGGACTAAAACAGGGCTCTCACACATGCTCTCTATCACCAGCTGAACACTCAGCTCCTAAAACTTGTTATTAAAACCTGTGGGCTTCAAAGCATGCGCACAGGGACTTGCTGTGGTTATTTTAGTGTGTGCTGTGGCCAGAAGCTGCAGTTAAAGCCCACACCACAGTTAGACCACCGCCTCCATTCTCGTCTGCCACTTAGAATATTAAAATTTACATTAATCCTATTTTTTTCTAGCCAAACAGCCTAATTTTGGTTTCATTAGATTTTATTTTAAAGATTTGAGACATCTTACTATGTAGCTCTTACTTTCCTGAAACTGTAGAACTGACTGGCTTCAAATTCCCTCCTCTGCCTTTTGAGTCCTTGGAATTGAAGGTGTGTGCCACCACGCCCAGCTTAAGATTTTATTTATTTTTGGGTATAGGTATTTGGCCTGCATGTCTGCGCCACACTGTGCGGTGCCCAAAAAGGCAAGGACACTGGTCCTCTGGAACTGGAGTTAGTTATGAGTCACCCTGTGGTGCGGGGACTCGAACTTGGGTCCTCTGGAAGAGCAGCACCGAGCTGTCTCTGCAGCCCATAGGTGTTTTGTACGCCTTTTGAAGAAATAAATATGAAGTAGATATTTTACAATTTGGAAAGAACACTACTATTCTTTTAATCATTTATTCTACTCTGCTAGTAATATAAATAGGATTTTTTTTTTTACTCTTCACAGGTACAGATATGGCTTTTCTGAAGACTGCTTTGGGAATGGCAAGAACAGCAGTATATTCTTTACACAAATCCTCAACTAGAGAAGTAAGCTTAAATCAACAGTATTGTTACTTTTAGCCAGATAATGGTAGCACACATCTTTATCACAGTACTTGGAAAGCAGAGGCAGGCAAATCTCTGAGTTCCAGACAGCCAGGGCTACACAAAATAAAAAACCCTATCTCAAAAACCACAATATATATGTGTGTGAATATATTTTAAGATTTTGGGTTTTTTTCGTTTGTTTTTCAAGACAGCGTGTCTCTGTGTAACAGTCATGACAGCCCTGGAACTAGCTCTTATAGACCAGGCTGACCTCGAACTCAGAGATTCCCCTGCCTCTGCCTCCCAAGTGTTGGAATTAAAGGTCTGCACCACCACTGACCAACTGTTTTTTATTCTGAAATGAAGTTTATGCCCTGGCAATGCTGAAGCATGCATGGGCAGCCCATGTAGATGACTCTGCTGAACCTGTCCATATTGGGTTTCATGGTCTAAGTTGCTGAGAACGACTGACCAGGTCTCTTCCTCAGAAAACCCAGATTCAATTCCTAGCACCCATATGATGGCTCTCAACCACCCACAACTCCAGTTCCAGTGAATTGATGCTTTCTTTTGACCTAGAGCACCAAGAATACACATGCTGCAGATATATACAAGGGCAAGACTAAAATCACTAAACCAAAAACAAACAAGAAAATATTACCAACAGGCAAACAATCTTGCTAATCCCGCACTGACATTCTCTTCCGAGGGATTTTAGAGTATAATCAAACTGACAATGACAATCAACCATCATTGGGTGGGAGACGTGACTGTGACTTGTTTAGGAGTACTTGCTACATCTGCAGAGAATCTGAGTTCAGCTCACAATAGTCTATACTCCACCTCCAGGGAATCCGATGCCTCTGAATACACCTGCACTCAACGTTCATATATACACACACACCCAAATACCTAAAAATTGTGAAGGGGCTAGAGAGATGGGTTCATGGTTAATAGCACTAGTTGCTTTTGCAGAGGTCCCGTGTTCAGTTCCCACATAATCTATCTGCTGCTGTATAGGAACACTGTTTAAAACACTTCATTCTGATCAGAGAACACTGTTCAACAGAGTCTGGCAGTGGTGGCGCACACCTTTAATCCCAGCACTTGGGAGACAGAGGCAGGTGGATCTCTGTGAGTTCAAGGCCAGTCTGGTCTACAAGAGCTAGTTACAGGACAGGCACCAAAAACTACAGAGACACTTTGTCTGGGGGGAGGGGGGGGAACATTGTACAACAGACGAGAAAAATGAGGTAAGTCCAGAATGAATGCTTTAGCTAGGGCTACTTTAGTTAGGTACTAAGTAGTAGGACTGAAATTCCAAAGGCCGTGGCTCCAGACTATGCTTTTCTCTTCTACCCTGCAACTGAATGGCATGCTGACCCAGAACTGCCATTCACTAATGAAATCAAGCTACACTGTGTATGTAATGGATTTTGATGGATTTTTCGTTTTTTAATTACATAATTTGGTTCAGATGCTAAGTAGCGAGGACACTTTGTTCCTAGCTTTTAAAAGTGTACATATAATTAAAATTTCTGAGTCTAATTTTATTGAAAATTTTAATGTTCAACATTAGCAGATCAGATCTAAACATCAACTCATATGAAAATATTATTTGTCTTTAGCATATTCAAAAGAAAGCTGCAGAATGGAAAGTCAAGATAGAAATTATTGCAGGTAAGCTTATCTCAACCTTGACTGTTTATGGCAAGACAGCGTTTCTCTGTTGATCAGGCTGTCCTGGAACTCAGATCTATCTACCTGTCTCCCTAGTGCTGGTACTAAAGGTGTGAGCCACCACCTGGCTACAATCTTATTTAAAAGGCCAACAAGCCAGCCTAATTTATTTATTGGAGACAGGGTTTCTCTATAGCTTTGTAGTCTGTCCTGCAACTTGTTCTGTAGCCTGAATTTTTAAAGTACTAAAAAAATTATGGAATGTTACCCAGTTCAGGAGTAGCTTGGAAATGCACCAAACAGAGTAAACATTTACAAAGATCTGCCTGTGCCTGTCCCTATGAATGCATTTTCTAAACAGAAAATTAATGGTACCTCAGTATTCAGTCATCTAGGCCCTGACAGAAGGCTGCTATCATCAGTGAGTGAAAACATGGGCCTGGACATGGTAGGACTGCTGTTAAGTCCACTACCTGTAAATGCCAGTGATTTATGATTGGTACTTAGCTCAACACCAACCTTTCCTTTTTTGGTGGGAGACAGAATATAAACATCCACAATAGAAGAAGAGATGCCTTTTTTTTTTTTCTTTTTACTAAGTTAAGTTTGCCCACAACACAACAGGAAAACCATTAGAAAGCAGAAGTCATCCAGTACTTTTGAGACACTTGAAATAAGTAAAGACTGGTGTGTGGTAGTGTGCTTCCTTAGCACGCACAAGAGAAAACGGGAGAAATTAAATGTGCAATAAAAGGAACATCTTTATTTATTTGGAAGCATGGCTTCTCTGCGTTTCTTTTTCTTTCTCTCTCTCCTCCCCTAACTACCTCTGACTGTCAGAGAACTCACAAGGCCTACTAGACTAAGCCTTTGTCTGCCTGATTCCCAGTCCTGAGATGAAATACACATGCCATTATGTCTAGCCATGAGTTTACCACGAATTGGTCCTATGATGTTAAAGGATCTACCTAAGTTGTTCATAAAGACATGTCTGTCTTCCTATTAAGTGTTGTCAAAGAACTCAATACAGAGCACTTTATATTAGTCCCAGTCGTATACTAATCCAGAACTTTAGTGGTCTTCACATTATCAGCTTCAACAACCCTGGAGCCTACACAAACAGAACAAGATTCCCAGATGACTTGGTCACACATTATAGAGAGCTATGGCCTGTATTGGAAATTACAAAAGATACCACTGGCCAAAGGTGAAAGTATAGAGAATTTATGTTATAAATTAGAAAGGGCTGGGGTAATAGTGGCACACGCTTTAATCCCAGCACTTAGGAGGCAGAGGCAGGTGGGGTCGATCTCTGTTGAGTTCAAGGCCAGCTTGGTCTACAAGGCAAGTTCCAGGGCAGCTAGGACTGTTAAACAGAGAAACCCTGTCTCAAAAATCAAAAAAATAAGTAAATTAGGAAGGAATGTGAAAAATGGACCTTCATTTTGTTAGTAGAAAAAATAACTAGGACTATCCATTATTAAAACATGGACAGACAATTTTTGAAGCATGAATATCATATTGTCAGCTATAGATACATCTGATTTTCACAGAACTTTCCCCCCCATGCTTGTGAATTCTTTTAACTATTCTCCATAACCTCAAATTTTGACATGTGATCCAAACAGCAGAAACACTATGCATAACTTGGCATGTAAGTATTCACGGTCTGTCCAAAGTGATGGATGTAAAACATTATGCACACCAGCATCTAATACTTTCAAGGTGAATGTTTGGCTTGTTTTTTACAGAGCTTCGATATGACCTGCCAGCATTATACAACTTTCATAAAAAGAAATCAGTAAGTTTCCCAATTTTGAATACATTCAGCATTCAAAAGCTTTGCAATATCACTTTCCACTCACAGCAAGTTGCATGGGTAAGTAGAAAGCCAGCCTGAGAGACTGGACAAATTAACTGTTGTCGAAGCAGTCAACATTCTAGTAAGTTCTTTGTGAAAAAATTTAAGAGAAAAAAAAAGAAAAAAGTAAACGGTTGGCTATTTTTATACAGCATATATTTTACAAGTTTGTACTAATACATTCTCATATTACAAAGGCAATTAGGAGGAAGAATCTTCCTTTTCATATTTGAATCATCCAAACACAAACAGGAACTATACATTTTAAAAAACTTTCATTTGGGTAACAACAACAACAAAAAAAGACAAGTAAAACAAATTCTTTTCCTTTTATACAGGTGGACATTGAAGTGGACCTAATTCGCTTTTCTTTTTAAAAGCTTCTGAAGACAAAAAGCAGCTTAAAATCTAACTAAGATGAATAAAAACACTGCTTACTAAACTACTTGTCTCTAGCGCCGTTCTCTCTCTTCTTATGCTTTGATGCAGGCTCTTCTCTGTCTCTTCCGTCCCTTGCTCTTTTCATTGGTCCTATACAAACACAAAGAACTCATTAAATTCAATGTAAGCACTTGCTCTATTAATATTGGCTACAATTACTAATAATAGCTTCCTTTAAAAAATTAGCAACTTCTCAGAGAGAAAGGGCTTTCCTTGAGTACAGTCTTTCTGACCTTTATAGTTATCTTTTACCAACCTCTCAATTGTGCAATAGCACAAAGGACGACGATGGCACTCAATGAAAACTATCACTCACACAGAGAGATAGTGTTTTATCAAGTACAGACATCATACCCAGGACTTGAGACTTGCCTGATCCACGTCGATGATGGTGATGGTAGTCATCATCATCGAATCTTGTTCTCCTGCCATGAAACTGTCCTCTTCCTTTGGGTCCCCCAGCATAAGGAGGTCTGTTTCCCTTTCCTTTTCCTTTAAATCTGCGGCCTGTAGAAACATGATTGAGAAAGTTAGTCAATTTTAAGTGTTTTTGAAAACTAAGATTTTTCTCAAGCAAAGATGAGGTAAAATAACCAATTATAATAAAAAATTAAATAATGACCTCCTTTTGACTTCCATTTGTTTAGTGATTCTTGCTGATCATCCATGATTTTCTTCATCGCATCTTTTTCCGCATGTCCTTCTAGTACTTTCCAAGTCACCTTTTTGTTCCTTAATTGTAGGTTACCATTATTTGCACTCCTGGCTTTCTCAAGTGCTTCCTTAGCTTTCTCTTTAAAGAGAATTATTCCCTACACAAAGAGGAAAAAAAATGAATGTTCCACTCTTCAGTTTGTAGTCAGACAAATTTCTTTCCTCAAAGATATTTCCCAGACCCAGCATATCTATTCCTGCTATTTTCAATGCTTCTTACTGAATATTAGGAAGAAATGCTTTAAAAGTAAACTCCAGTCACCAATACCAAGTTTATATGCCCCCTTCCTCCACCCAAAACAATCTTTTTTTTTCCTGGTTCATCGTGCCTTTTCATGACATGTGCCTCCTATTAACCTTGTTGTAACATCAGCACATTACCCATCTGACATGGAAAAAAAGATACCACACCTGGTAAAAAGACTTAAAAGTAAATGACTAAGTAGAAACTATTTTAGTTAACATGTTTTATAAATTACTTTCTCATTAAACATTTTTTTAAAAGACTGCTTCCTAGTAATTTTTTTCTTCTAAGAGATAACATTCTATAGACTTTTAAACAAATTGCTAGTAAGGATAGAGATGTTCACAAACCTCTTTTGCTCCTCTGACAAAGTCAATCCATTTTATTTCGCCGTGATTTGAGAAAAGGATGTGTAAATCTTCTCTACAGGTCTGGTCATCCAAGTCACCTGAAAACTTCAGTAAGCACCCCATCCTTCCTTCTAGAGGTCGCTATAAAAACAATACAAGGCCATCAAAAGGTTTCCTCGAGAGCAACCTCACCAAAATGACTCACATCATTCTATACCTACATAAGGAAAAGAGAAGTCAGTGCTATTTTAATGCAGTTTAACTGTATTTTTCTCTACTCTCCTGTTTTATAATGGCTTTATTTTATTTAGTTTCTTCTATAGGGAAGTTATAACTATCTGCTGATAAGAAATGATCTCAGACAATATTATCTGTATATCACTGATGCAATGACACTGGTAGAATCACTTAGACATTCTCTAAGAAGTCCTCAAACATGGCTAGAGGCCTAAGTGGTATATCTGGTATGGGTACCATGGGGACTGCGGGTCCATTCCCAACATCTCCCATCTCCCTACCACACACATAAAAGTTCTCATACTCTAAAAACTCATTCTAGGGGGCTGGAGAAGGAAAACAGGGGTTAAGAGCACTTCCCACTCCTCCAGTCTACCCAAGTTCAGTTACCAGGTCAGATGGTTCACAATCACCTATAACTCCAGCAACCTTTTCTGTCCACCCCAGGAACCTGCACACATACAGCAAACATTCTCAAATACACACAAATAAAAAACAGCCTTAAAAAGTATTCACAGAGGAGGAGCCAGAGGGACTTGAGTTCAGTTCCTCACACCCACACTGTACTGCTCATATATGTAACTCTAACTTTTGAGAATTGGACACCTTCTTCTAGCACCCATGGGTACCTTACACACACACAGTTACATATATGGTTCATCAGGTCTCACAGAGACTGAACCAACAACCAGAGAGCCTGCATGGGAATGACCTAGGCACTCTGCATATATCTTACTCTTGTGTAGCTTGGTCCTCTTGTGGGACTCCTAAGTGGCAACAAGAGTTGTCTTGGATTCTTTTACAGGACTTTGGGACCATACTCATACTGGGTCGCTTTGACCAACCTTAATACATGGGGAGATGCTTAATTTTACTGCAACTTGATATGCTGTGCTTTGCGGATATTCATGGGACACTTGCCCTTTCCTAAATAAAAACAAAGGAATTGACTGGGAAGTAGGAACACAGGGGTCATATGGGGAGGGACTGGGAGGAGGGAGGAGAAACTGCAGATGGGATGTAAAATAAATAAAATGGGAAAAAAAACTTAAACAAGTTGTTTTAGCAGAGCATGGTAGTGCATGCCTTTAATCCCAGCAATTGGGAGGCAGAAACAGGTGACTGTCTCCAAATTTGCGAAATAAAACTGGTCGACAAAGTCATTTCTGGGTCAGCCAGACTAACATGGTAGGGATTTATCTCTAGATAAATAAAGGGACCAGCAAATAAAGGTGTTTGCTGCCAAGCCTAACAACCTGGGTACAATCCCTGGGATCCATATAGGGGAAGGAAAGAACTGACAAGCTGTCCTCTGACCTCCACACAACTACAGACAGACAGACAGCAACTTCAAAAAGACAGTCTAACTTAAATTCTCATGTATTAGGTATCAATACTTACTGTTTCAGCACTTCCTGTCTTGTGTTTTCCTTCATGTTCTCTAAAAATAAATGTGTTGTGATTATAATATGTTTAAGCTTAACGAAGTAAAAATTCTAATAACCCCAATCATCATTACCACAAACCAATTAATCATCAAAGCAAGTCCTCAGACTTTTTTCATCATACAACACCAGCAATATATAGCTTCTAGGTTATCAAGATCTTTTTTTTTTTTTTTTTAATTTTAGAGACAGGTTTCTCAGTAGCTACAGAGCCAGTCCTGGAACTAGCTCTGTAGACCACGCTGGCCTCAAACTCACAGAGACCCGCCAGCCTCTGTCTCCTGAGTATTGGAATTAAAGGAGTATGCCACCATGGCCTGACTAAAATGTAACTTTTTCTTTTTTCCTTTGGGTTCTCTGTAGCTTCCTAGAACTCATAGAGATCCACCTATCTCTGAGATTAAAGGAGACTAACATTTCACTACCAATAAAGACAAAACCATTACCACTCATTTCAAAGCTCATCATCAGCTTACCCAGAACCACTAGCTAAACTTGTCAAAGCATTAAGAAATTCAAATGTGTCACATGAATTAAATACTTACTGTTTAGCTTTTAATTTAGCTTCCACTTTGCTCTGCTTTCTTTCTTCATTTTTCTTTGCAAAGTAATCTTCCCTGAAAAACACAAAACACAGACTAAGCTCACAAAGACAAAAAATTACTTTTTGTTCATTTTTTCCCCCCAAGCCAGTTTCTCTGTGTAGCCCCCGCTTTCCTGGAACCCACTCTGTAGACCAGACTGGCCTTGAACTCAAGAGATCTGCCTGCTTCTGCCCCTCAAGGGCTGGGATTAAAGGTGTGTGCCATAGCCCAGCTGAAAATTACTTTGAGTACTTGAAACCCTAGCTCCACAAAGACTATCATACACTTTTTTTTTTTTTTTGCATGTGATTTTTAAGTCAGGGTCTCACTGTTTATCACACACTGACTGGGAATTTCCATGCAGCCCAGGGCTCAAACAATCCTCCTGCCTGAGCCTCTACAGAGATGGGAATACAGATGTGTACTACCACACCCAGCAGTTACACACATTTTCTGTCAGCTAATCACCTAGAAACTCATATGCTGCAGAGGTCATGCACATGCATTCTACCAAGTACACATACTATAAAATTTAGCATCAAATAACAGGCTGTATAATACAAGGAAGTATACAACTGCCCTATGATTAACTTTATGAAAATGGTTTAGTTCAACAATTTTTTGACACAGGCTCATTGTACAGCCCATACTAGCCCAAACACTTCTTGTCTTAGCCTCCCACCTGTGACTACAGGAGTTCTGGCATCACAGGCATCCACCACCATGCCTAGCCATCCCTTGTGGGTATTGTATATGTGGAGGTCAAAGGTTAAGTGTCTTCTACTATCAATCCCCACCTTACCTTTTGAGACCCCACATGATTCTCATTAGAACCAGAGAACAGCAAATGGCCACTAAGCTCCAGCAATGGCCTATCTCTACCACTCCATCCCCCCACCCCGCCCTTCTGCTTGCAGACTGGCACTTTAGTGACCACACCATATCCACAGTCCTAGCCTCTTTTAAAGAATTTATCTATTACGCATACAATGTTCTGCCTGCATGTGTCCTTGCAGACCAGAAGAGGGAGTCAGATCTCTTTAGAGATGGTTGTGAGCCACGTGGTTGCTAGGAAACCTAGAAGAACAGCCACTGTTCTTGACTGCTGAGTCATCTCTCCAGCCCCCCAAGCCTCACTTTAAAAGAAAAAAAAGTTTAATCAGGACGCAGAGACAGCCAGATCTATGAATTCAAGGCCAGCCTGGTCTACAGAACCTACAGAACAAGTTCCAAGACAGCCAGAGCTACAGAGTTTGATCCTAAGGACCCATACACAGAAGGAAGGAGAAATCAACTTCCCCCAGGTTGCCTTCTGACTTCCACAAGTGTGCCATGGCATGATTGTAAACAATAAAGTTGGGAGCCAAGGGTATGGCTCAGCAGGTAAAAACACTTGGTGCACAAGACTGATGACCTGAGTTTAATCACTGGACTCCATGTAAGGTAGAAGGAGAGAATGAACTAGAGAGCTGTCCTTTGACCTCCACATGCACACTATGGAACACGTACACACCTCAACACACTAACAATACAAAAGCTGAGAAAAGGTATTAAAAACCACTTTCATGTTCTCAAAATACTATTATAATTACCCCCAAACACAATTTCCAGAGCATACTGAAAATAGTATCAACTGTACAGGGGATGCTGCTCTTTATACCTTACCCCACAGTATCAATTCCAAATAATCATGTGGCCTGAGAGATAAGCAAAAAGACTTACTTAAAGAGTATTAACAAGCTTGTGTCTTTGTACTTCTGACCAGGGGTATCCACAAACTTCTTTGCAGACTGAATACTATCAAACACAGCAAATATTGACCCCTATAAAACAGAAAAAGATTTTCTTTAAAGTGATATTTTTCAACTAGAAAGTCTATATCAAATAATCATACCTTAAATGTTTTGTGCAATGTTCGTCTCATCTGAATATTCAGTATTTGACCTTTATCATCTAGCCATTCTTTTATGTCATCCAGGGTTGCATCAGTTGGGAAGCCTTTCTGTAAGAAATGGAAAAAAGAAGTACAAACAATGATTCCTGGGTAACAACTCTCCCTACAATAAATTCTAAATTATTCTGTTTTGAAGTGAAGCCAGAAATCTAAGTGTCGAACTTTCTGTCCCCTTTATTAATTGTTTAGCAACCTTATTCTCTAGTGCAATAAAGTGATTCACCTGAGATTTGTTCCAAAATAACCAGCTAGAGCAAAGACAAAACATTATTATACGTTAAGAACTGCTGAAGTTTGGCAATGGTACATTACACTATTCAATCTACTTCCTTGTGTCTAAAGCTTTCTATGTATTTAGAAATTTATGAATGAAATTAACCAATGAAGAACTCAGCTACTAACAAGACAGGATCTAACATATGTAAATTAACAATGATAAAGTTTAGAAGTAAACTTTCAAAAAACACAGTAATGGGCCAAACATGTCCTGAGCCTTTATACTTATTCACTCCATGTATGTTCCTTCTAAATAAAAGTAACATGAAATGCACTGAAGATCCACTTACAATATAAACAGATCTGTTTTTTACATCATTCTTATACTCATCCGTCACTTCGGGAAGGGGTCTGCTTGGAGATCTTCTGATTTTAGTTTTGTCTGCACTCACTTCCATAAGTTTTGCCTTAGATTTGCCCAGTGCTTGGACAATTACATTAAAGTCTGTTGTCAGTCGGTTTAGCCTAGAGTACATACATAAAAACATTGTAAAAGCAGATATAGTAGTAGCTATCAACAGCAACAGCAAACTTAATGACTTTTTGAAGATTTTTGGGTTTATTAGCCTCAAAACTAACATAGTTTAATGATAGCACATGACCAAGTTCCTGGGTTTGATCTCCAGAAATGGAAACAAACAACAAAAAAGGTCTTACCTGTTGAATTTTATCATTGTGTCCAAAGGTACCCAGCCTTCATCCAATTTGATCTGTTCCTTTAAAAACTTGTCTCGTGGCAAATTGAAGTCTCCAAAATAATACTGTGAGTAATTATAATGTATTTCAGATGTTAAGAGCACTGTATAATGCTGAGTTCAATCAAATTTTTTTGAAAACTATTTTTTATACTACCAAGTTCTACTCTTTAAAAATGTATGTTAGAACTTAAGGGACCATAATAGAAGCACTTTTTCCTAAATAAACTATAATGAAATATATATAACACAAGAGAAAACTAAAATGCTGGTGAACCAGTATAATAAATGTGTTATTAGAATAGAAAGTATCAAATATAATTAAAGATCTAATAAAAACATTTCTTCCAGGTTGGAGCTATAGTTCAGTGGTTAAGAAAACCGACTGCTCTTCCAGAAGACCTGGGATCAGTTCCCAGCAACTAACTGTTTGTAACTCTAAGATCTGACACACTAACATAGACATACACGCAGGCAAAACATCAATGCATATAAAAGTAATTAAAATTTTTTTTTTGTTTTTTCGAGACAGGGTTTCTCTGTGGTTTTGGAGCCTGTCCTGGAACTAGCTCTTGTAGACCAGGCTGGTCTCGAACTCACAGAGATCGGCCTGCCTCTGCCTCCCAAGTGCTGGGAAGTAATTTAAATTATTAAAAAACCAAAAAACCTTCTCTTCCAGTCAATATGGAAAAAAGATTAAAAACTTGGGGTTAAATTCCTAGATTAAAAAAGGGGGGGGGGAGGCATGACTACTTGGAATGTCAAAAGCAACATGAATGAAAAAGGTAAACATTTGTTAAGATTCTTGTCAGGCAGTGGTAACACCTTTAATCCCACTCTGGAGGCAGAGGCAGGGGGATCCCTGACTTGGTAGCCAATCTGGTCTACAGAGCAATTTTCAGGACAGTCAAGGCTACAAAGAGAAACCCTGTCTCAAAAAACAAAAATCTTATAAATTAAAAGAGAAGTCAGGTGTAGTGGTTCATGTACACAATGTCCATCTCAGATTTAGTAATTTCTCTGAGTTCTCCAACTTAGGAGATCCACCTACTTCTATTTCCCAAGGAGCTAGGATTAAAAATATGTATCACCATATCTATTCACTTTTAAAAATTATATAACACGTAGCACAAACACAAAAAAAGTTACTCAACAGTGGTGGCACATGCCTTAACTCCCAGCACTTGGGCTGCAAAGGCAGGGGATCTCTGATTTGGTAGCCAACCTGGTCTATGAGCAATTTCCAGGACAGTCAAGGCTACAAAGAAAAACCCTGTAACAAAAAAACAAAAACCCACAAAAGAAGTCTAACATTACTCACTAAAACCTAAACTAAAATGCCTTTAATTCCAGTGTAGGAAAGTAGAAATAGGTGGAATGAGTTTGGAACCAGACTGCTCTACGAAGAAAATTTCAGGCCAGCAGACTAACTACTACATAGTGAGAGACTGTCTTAAAAATTAAACTAGAATAAAATGTACATAGTTTTTGTCAATGTAGTGCCTCCTAGGAATTCCATCTTAAACCAGTAGAGGAGAGATGCCTTAGTGCTTAAGAGTGCTTGCTGCTCTTCCAGGACCTGAGTTAGGTTCCTAGCACTTTAGTCAATTGGCTCAGGATGGAATGTAACTCCAGCTTCAGAAGATTTGATACTTCTGACCTGAGGACCACATACCCATATGCAGACACAGACATATTTTTTGTTAAAAAACAAAAATAAAGTGGTGGTGCAAACCTTTAAGCCTTTAATCTCAGCAATTGAGAAGAAGAGGCAAATGATCTCTGAGAGTTCGAGGCCAGCCTGGTCTACACAGTCCAGGACAGCCAAGGCTACTCAGAGAAACCCTGTCTTGAAAAACAAAACAAAGCTGGATGTGGTGCTCATGCTCTTAATCTTGGCACTTGAGGGGCAGAGATAGGATGATGATCTCTATGAGTTTGAGGCCAGTCTGGTCTACACAGTGATTTCCCAGGACAGCCAGGGATATATAGTGAGACCCTGCTCAGAAACAGGAGGAGGAAAAAGGGAAGAGGGCAGTAGGCCTGTTTACTAAGATTTATATAAAGAATATCCACCATAGAACTGTTTTAGTTAAGCGATTCTATACATTAGAGAAGATGAATGGATTATTAATGGTGTATTATTGACGACACAAAACTTTACTCCCTAAAAACGTACCTCATGTTTGGTGGGGGAGGGGAAAATTAAGTTATGTACCATTCTAATTGGGGATATTTGGGAAACCTCTGTCTCTAGGGAATTTTACTGTGAATTTCACAATACTCTTAAAAATAAAGTCTCCCCCCCTTAAAAAAAAAAACATTATTTTAGGGGCTGGAGAGATGAACTTCAAGGTTAAGAGCACTGAATGATCTTCCACAGGACCAAAGTTCCATAGCCAGCATCCACATGGGGGCTCATAACCATCTATAACTCTAGTCCTAGATGATCCAATGCCTATTTCTGGCTTCCATGGGCTCCAGGCATGCACATGGTGCACAGACATACATCAGATAAAACATCCATAAAATAAACTAAAAATAAAAACATTATTTTGAGCCGGGCGATGGTGGCGCACGCCTTTAATCCCAGCACTCGGGAGGCAGAGGCAGGCGGATCTCTGTGAGTTCGAGACCAGCCTGGTCTACAGAGCTAGTACCAGGACAGGCTCCAAAGCTACAGAGAAACCTTGTCTCGGGAAAAAAAAAAAAAAAATTATTTTGAATATGAAGTGTGAAAAAAATTTTAAACCTGAGTATCTTTTCTATAACACTTTTGTTATTGTTCTAAGCATTAAACAGCAAATATCACTGGCTTTGTAATTAAAAACAAACAGCAGGAGCTAGAAAGATGACTTAGTGGCTAAGAGCACTGCCTGCTCTTCCAGAGGACCTTGGTTTAATTCTCAACATACACTGATAGCTCATTAACTGTCTGTAACTCCCATTCCAAGGAATCTCATACCCTTGCACAGACATACATGCAGGCTATACACCAATGCACATAAAATAAAATTAAACAAAAACAAAAACCACAATAAACAATGATTTTGTAACATGAACACAATTCACGGACATTTCCTATACAGCCATCATTGTTACTGACAACAACCTAAACTAACACCTAAATTTGAAATGCTAACAACTTTGAGAACACATACTTGGCTAAAGTTACACTAGCTTTTTGAAAAGAACTAATAGGACAGATTAAACTATTATTTGACAAGTACTTTACCTTGGAATTTTATGCTAGCTTTTATTAGATTAGGCACTTCATCAATTTTTCACATCATCTTACAAGTATTACTGCCTTTTACATGTTACAGACTTGGGAATTGAAATGGAGAAATGGTTATAAATAAAGCAACACTAGTCTATAGTGTTACCTTTGGAATGTCTGTAATTTTTTTTAATTGTTTTGTTCCAACATAATATCTTTATTGATTATCTGGGAATTTCACATCATGCACCCCGATCACACATACTTCCCAGTCCTCCCAGGCCTGACTCTCACCCTTATGACAACCCCCCACCTAAAAAAGGATAAAAAAGTCCAGTTTGTGTTACCCATATACTAACTGGAGTAAGGTCAAACTCCCAATTGCCAGCCCCTTAAAGTAAACTGAGTCCTTGCCCACCTGCACCCCTGCCAGAAACCATCAATTGTGAAGAGCTACACTTCAGCATCCTTATCACACTCTTTTTTTCCTTCCTTCCTTTTGATTTTTGTTTTGAGACAGGGTTTATCGTGTAACAGCCCTAGCTGTACTGGCACTACTTTTGTAGACCAGGCTGGTCTTGAACTCAAAGAGATCTACCTGCCTCTGCCTCACAAGTATTGGGATTAAAGGCGTGCGCCACCACCACTCAGCCCTTATCACAATTTTTAAGAGTTCTCTTTAGTGGTTTTCTGTCTAGGCTATTTCTTTTCTTTTTTAGGGGATGGAGGGAAGGCTATAATTCTCCTAACTTGGCCCCAATAATATGAATAGATTTACATTAACTTCAAGAACCAAAACTAAGCCAAATGCTTAAATAAGTCCACTTATGGACATTTGATGTTTTGTTTTTCATCTTAAGGCCCCACATTTCTTTTGAAGGAACATATAATTTTGCAATTTAACAACACAAGAATCCTACCTCAATTTGATGACAGATTTTGGCCTCCAGAGCAGCCATTTTTTCATTATCTCCATTTTCAGCCATTGTGGCTATCTGTAAAATTTCTCACACTGGAAGAAAAAGGTTATTATTTTTATATAAAATAGTCGAAACAAGAAAGAGAAGGATTAAAAACCACTCTTTTATTAAGTTTCAAGAATTTCTAATTTTACAGGTTGTTTCCCTATGAATTCCCATGTATCTCAAAAAAGCAACACCTTGAATTATGTATGGAAAAATTAAAGGTCAACAACCTGCTATTCCTTTCAGTAAATCACACTTCCTATTCTATTTTATTATCTTTTTCCCCAACAATAGTAAATTTAATTGTGAATAAAGGAATGTATATCCTACGCAATGAAAGAACAAAATCATAATCATGATAAACAATTATAATGCTGTGTGATAAACTCTACAAGTAATTTTGGTTTAATGGAACATTAAGGAAAATATTTACAAAAGATATTTTACAAAAAAAATACCCTTATTTTAGTGAAAAACACCAGGTTGGATGGAGTGATCGATCTTACTTCTTATTTGTTACTGATTATTAGGCAGAGGCTTTCTTTTACTGGGATTATCTATATTGTTGGAAGTCATTTAAATGAGAAAAAAACTCAAGATGTGGGGGTCTGTGTGAGAGTCAGTGTAAGCATATGGTCTGTCTTTATTTGAAATATATGATTGCCTCATATTTCACAAATACATGTATGTTTTTGTAGTTTCCAATTAATCAAAAAAGATTTTTATTGTTTTTACTGAGCTATATATTTTTCTCCACTCCTCTCCCTTCCTATCCCCCCTCTACTCTCTCCCATGATCCCCACACTCCCAGTTTATTCGGGAGATAATGTCTTTTTCTACTTCCCATGTACATCAGATCAATATATGTCTCTATTAGGGTCCTCATTGTTGTCTAGGTTCTCTGGGATTGCGAATTGTAGGCTGGTTTTTCTTTGCTTTATGTCTAAAAGCCACTTATGAGTGAGTACTTTCTGGGTCTGGGTTACCTCACTCTATTTTGTTATCTTAACGAAGTTGGCAAAGCAAGCTTCAGAGAGAAAAACGATCCACTTAACCACTTCTCAACCATATCTAGCTTTAAAAAGATCAGAATTACAGTCTGTCGACATGTTCCTATCGCTCTCAATGCTATCTGTTTGGCATAGTTGGCATTTCTTTTCAAATCAGTCACAGCTGACTTACCAAAACCCATTACTGGCAAAAATGAAAAAAAAAAGGCAAAAAAAAAGTTCGATTCTATATAACAGAATATAAGAAAAATGGGAACTTGAGAGCAAGGGTACACAAAAACTGTAAACTGGGGTGCTGGAGGGGAGGGTGTGCCTAACACACGAATACATTGGTTAACTCTACAGCCAGTTTCCTGCTTCGCGGCCTGACAGCAATCCTGGAATACGAGAGTGTGCTACTGGCTAGCTAGAAATCACAAACCGGATATTCCGACTTACTAGCTCTCGGCGCTCTGCTCCATAAACCACCCAGCTGTACTGCACTACGCTGCACGAGCTCACCAAGACTCTTCCGCAGCAGCGGGACAGAGCCACGAGCTGCTCTTGGTGTATTAGCGGCATTGCTCAGAATGCTGGTTTATAACATGGAGACCACTGAAGGTCCTGCAAGGGGAACCCTAGTACGTATCCCATTTCAGACTTCACCGTCTCCGGAACCTGCTTGTCTCCCACCATCAACCACCGCATCACTACACAGAGACCTAAGTTCCTGTGCGAAGCAATGACAAAAACGACCTAGTTAGCTCCTGCAAGACTTCTGGGGCCTAAACAATTCTGGAATTGTTTTACAGATACTTCCAAAGAATTTCACACAGAAGCAGCTTTGAAGGGGGGTGGGGAGTGAGCGGCAATTAAAAAAACAACAAAAAAAAAAGCCCAAGACAGCGCCGCTGGGGGCGGAACTGCAGCCCCCACTTCTTTGGCCTCTTTTTCCTCCAGTTGGTCACCACAGACCCCTGCAGCGTTTAACCGCAGCGGCCATCCCGGGGACTTAAAGGCAGCTCCGGAACATCCGCCTTCGGCCAGTCAGGAAAGGGGTGCAGGTAACGAACCGAAAGGACGCCGTAAGGATGCGGCCAGCCTCTTCCCGGAGGCCCCTGCCACGTGGGAAGCCCCGGGCGCCCGCATCTGAGGCCGGGGCCCGCTCCGCGGCCTCACCGAGGCCCGCGCCCCCTCGGGCCGCAGCCCGGCACACCGCCACGGGCCGCAGGCCGCGCGGCGCGCACCACAGGAAGGCGAGGCCCGCGCGGAGCACAACCCTCGGGAGCCGTCTCCTCAGCCTCCGAGAAGCTCACCTCAAAGACGCCGACCCCCACAGTCTCCACCGCTTCAAGAACAACGACGGAAGCGTCTCGACTTCCGAGCGCCCGCGGGCCAGCCAAACGCGCTTAAAGATGGGGGCTCTCCCGGCAGGCCTTGCGGGCGGGTGGGCGGGGCCGCGGGCGCGCTCGGCCGGCGCGACTCTCTGCGCGTGCGCCACAGCGGCGGCCTCCCACAATCCTTAGAGTTACGCCCTCTCGCCGGAGAAATTGTTATCTCGCCGGGGCGAATGTTGTGAGGACGGGGGAGGGGGGGGGGATGGCAGGAAGTCTGTTTGTGGAGCTCTTTGTGTTTAGTATTTCTGAGGCTTTGTATAGTGTTTGACTTTTCTTTTTCAATATTTTTTTAGTTGTTTTTGCGAGACAGGGTTTCCCTGTGTAGCCTGGCTGTCCTGGACTGTGTTCTTTTTTTTTTTTAGTTTTTAGACACAGGGTTTCTCTGTAGCTTTGGAACCTGTCCTGACACTAGCTCTTGTAGACCAGGCTGGCCTCGAACTCACAGAGATCCGCCTGCCTCTGCCTCCCGAGTGCTGGGATTAAAGGCGTGCGCCACCACCGCCCGGCTGGACTGTGTTCTTGTAGACCAGGCTGGTCTCGAACTCAGATCCACCTGCCTCTGCCTCCCCCTCCTAGTACTGGATCAAAAGCGTGTGCCTCCACGCTGTCGCTTTTCAGTAATTTTTATATATTTAAGTTGCATCGTGTTCTGAAAAAAACATACAGTTACTTGGTTTCTGACAGGGTCTCTCTCAGAAGCACAAACTGGCCTGTAATTCGAAATCCCGCTTCTGTGCAAGGTGCTGAGACAACAGATGTCACCTGGTTCTCGTTCCTCCTGCTGCTGCTGGCTTTAATTTGGGTTTGAGTCAGAGCCTCAGTGAGTAACCCAGGCTTATCCTAAACTATGCTTCTGCCTCCTGCTGCCACCCTAGTACAAACAAAACAACTTTTAAAAATAGTTTTATGGGAGCCAGGAATTAAAAAAAAAAAAAAAAAACCAGAACTATTTAGAATGGTTCAAGAGATTTCACGCTTGAATCGTGCCTGTATTCATCTGCTCGCTGCGAACTGTGTCCTTGGCAAATTATTCAATTTCTCTGTCCCTCAAGATAAAGTAGGGTCATCTAGTACAGAAGCCTTTGTTTTGCTGGATCCCTTCCCTCGTGGTACAATTTCTGCAAAACAATTTTAAGTTTTTAGAGATGTTATCTCCTATGACATAATCTTTTCTTGTAATATAAAAACTATATTTTAAAATACAGCAAAGTATTTTTAACCTTCGATGGCGTGTCAAGATCTCTACAGTTTAATAGTACAATACTACTACAATGGTACTATAATAGTACTACAATAGTACTATCCAACCTCTGAGGTACACCTACAGCTTAATGAAACTGCCTACAGATGTGTAAAGATGTAAGGGGGGAGGAAAAAATCTATATGCATACCATCTCAAAGGGAAATATTTCCCAAGAAACCAAGAAAAATAATTTTAAAACTTTCTGGAGGGCTGGAGAGATGGCTCAGAGGTTAAGAGCATTGCCTGCTCTTTCAAAGGTACTGAGTTCAATTCCCAGCAACCACATGGTGGCTCACAACCATCTGTAATGAGGTCTGGTGCCCTCTTCTGGCCTGCAGGCATACACACAGAAAGAATATTGTATACATAATTAAAAAATAAATAAATAAATATTTAAATAAATAAAAATATTTTAAAAAAAAAACTTTCTGGAGGAATTCCAGAGGAGCGGCTGGAAATACCTTTAGACTCAATGTAGAATATATTACAAAACCATTTGTAGGAAGAACAAATCTACAGAGCTTAAAATGTTGGGGAAAGTTATTATAAAGATGTTTCAGTAATTAAATAGTTAAAAATGGTTTGGTGGACTGGGGATGTGGATTCGTGGTAACTTTAATTCGTTATCCCCCTGGATTTTGTGCCTTTGTGGTGTTTATCTTGGTTGCTGTTTACCTATTTATTTTAAGCAAGTGTTCATCTTCCCTCTTGATTCTATATTCATAATTTGGGATTCTTTTCCTCAGAGGGCCTTCAAAATTGTAGTTTGCACCATGCCCCATAACTTCTAATATTATATGTTCAAATATGCATTAGATTAACAGACACAAGTTAAACCTGAACAATAACAGGGCAATGAAATTAGAAAATGAAACATCCTTCCTAAAGTGGAAGGACAGCATGTATGCAGTGAAGAATTTAAGAACAAGAGGGAAATTCTGGCCCATACTTTATCAGCCAAGAGGTGGGAAATTATTCTAGAAGCTAGTTTACTTTAGGAAATCCACTAGGATGCAGACATTTCCCAGAATGGCAGTACAGAGAGCAGATGTGCAATCAAAGGGCCCTGGTCCAGGGGTCTCAGCCCACAGGTTGGAACCTCGCTTTGAGAACAGCGCCTCCTATGGAAAGTAGCTTTAATCCTGGCTTACTATGTTGGGAATGCAACCAAATCTACTGAGTATTGCTCAAACACAAAACTGAAGCAATAGATGAACTTGAAGGGGCCATAGTAAATTTTGAAAGAATTTCAGGGGTCCTTCAAAGAACAAAACCAGATGAAGTATTACAATAATAAGCCATTTGTACACTTTAAAAAGAATTCTCAGAGAGAACTTGGAACTACAAACTGTTTTTAACTTTCCTTTTTCTTTTCTTTTCTTTCTTTCTTTTTTTTTTAAATGTGTATGTTGTCCCTGTTGACGTGAATGAATGCGCGCATGTGTGAAGACTAGAAGACAGCCTCGGTATCATTCACTCCTCCTGAGGGCAGCATCCACCTCGTGCAAGAGACCTCAACAGGCTCTCTTACTGGGCCACGTTGTCAGTTAGAATAGACTGGATGGCTAGGGAGCCCCTGTGGTCCTCCTGTCTCTGCCTCCCCAGTCCTGAGATTACAAGATCAGGTCCCCACCCTCCTATTTTTACCTTAACTCAAGCCCTCATGCTTCTGCTGCAAAGCACTTAACCAACTAACCCAGCTTCCTGGCCCTTTTGTTTTTATTGTGAAGATTTTCAAGCATTTTTTCCAAAGTGTAATGTATAAATAGTATAAGGCCCTGAGTGTTTATAACCCAGCTTGCGTGTCACTAGCCAACGACAATATCTTGTTCTATCTCTATGTTTCCTACTCTCCAGAGCCCTCTCTTGATTCTTTTAAGCCAAATGGGACACATCCTGATATATTCCACAAAATCTTATAACCATACACTTAAGAATAAGGATCCCTGTTTAAGTCACCATATTTACCTGTTATAATCCCAGCTCCTGGAAGGTCGAGGCAGGAAAACAGCAATTTTGAGCAGCTTGGGGTACATAGCAAGATCTTCACTCAAAAGAATAACATTTGAATTTGAAGTTATCATCAAATATTCAGTAGGTTTTCAAATTCTCCTCGTTTTCTTGTGAATATCTTTTCAGTTGTTTTATTCAAATCAAGATGCCAATGTTTTTCGCATGTTGCCTTTGTCTTTTGAACTCAGAATTGAACTTTGAGCATCAAGCACACTAGGCCGTCACTCTACCATAGATATCTATACTCCTTCTTTAAAGCTTTGGGCTTATTTATTTAGAGACAGGTTCTCACAGTAGCTCTGTAGCCCTAGATGGCCTGAAAGTCCCTATGTAGACCAGGAGGGCCTCAAAGTCGCTGGTCTCCTCTCTCCCTCCGGAGCACTAGGATTAAAGGTATATGCTAACAAAATCTGCCCCCTTTTTATTTTAAACGGGCTCACTAAGTTGCACAGACTGGTCTTGAGCTTTCGCTGTAGCTCAGGTCACCTTTGCACTTTTGTCCCCCCACCTCTTGCCTCCAGGTGGTTGCAGCTATAAGCCTGCATCACCTGACCTGCTTACTAGTCCTCCTATATTTCTGTAATGCATAGGATCCTCCATTCTTCTTTCATTTACTTGTTAACGGACTCAGGTCCTGTTCCTATAGAATTTGTTGCACCCTGGATTTGCCTGGTTGTATCATGAGGTGTTATTTAAAATCAAAGGATTTGGCTGATTGTGTCATGAGGTGTTATTTAAAATCAAGTCTCAAGGCTTGACACCATTTAGCCTGAGTATTTTGGCAAGAATAGTCCTTGCTACATTAGAAGGCACACGGTGTCTCTTTTTGGAAACTTACAATTGTCTCTCATGAAGGTGGCAAAATGGAGGTAGTCAGTCTGTCATTCCTACCGCACTCATTAGCTGGAATTCTTCCATACCCCAAAAGAAGTTTACCACTTTCTTGAGTAGTTTTCCTTGCTGTGTAGATACAGACGACAACTGTTTGATTCCCCCCCTCCACACACACACCAATTTTTAGAACAAGTTTCTTATTCTTCTTTTACAGCAACTAATTAATTTGGCTGCAAGTCTAACAACCACGAGACTGGCACCATTTGAGGTGGCTGACCCCTGAGCCTCCTGAACAGAAATGCCCGATTACATCAGTGGGTTTCTCCCTGGCAAGGCAAGGCAGCGAGCAGCCAATCTCTCATACACTCCTAGCAGTCTTTTCCCATGGGGAATGGTCTTTCGAATTATTAGTACATTTTCACCTCTTTATTCTAATTTCAGAAGTTTGTTCTCTCCTTCCACCTTGTAGGTCCTGAGAGTAGAACTCAGGGGTTTGGGCTTGGCAGCAGGTGCTGAGCCACCTCTCTGGCCCCCCAAAATTTGGTCAATGTTGAAAAAGTGTCACAATCTGTCACTTATATACAGATAATAAATCCCAAGCCTGGAAATGAGAGCCCACGAGGCAGAAATCCAGGGTTTTAGTTGTGTACTGCACCTGTAGTAAGAAATAAGGGGGCACAGAAGGAATTTCAGATGCCAGGGAACATAATCTCATAACCAATAGCCAGAGCTCACGTTTCTGGAATGCAACTTTTTAAAAATTAATTCATTTTTGTTTTATTTTGTGCTTGTGTTTGTTTTTTTGAGATGGGGTTTCGCTATGTGGCCCTGGCTGTTCTGGAACTCACTCTGTAGACCAGACTGGCTTTGAACTCAGAGATCTGGCTGTCTTAGCCTCACAAGTGCTGGGAAACTGTAAATCGAGAGAAAAAGGCTCTAGTTTCATGAGATAGGAGAGGAGAGTAGT